ATACAACAGATGCAGCACATTACATTTTCATTACCCAAATGTATCGCGTAAGTAGGGTGGCTTCTTCAGTCGAAAAGAGAACTAATTAAAATACTGAAGACAGTTGAGGTAGAGACTGAGGTGTTGAGTCCCTTAGTCTTGTCTGAAGGAGCGAATGCCCTTTCATCCATTTTTTTTTTTTTGGTCCATTTTCAAATAAAACTTTATCCTATGATTTAAAAAGCAGTTTGCATCCTACACTCTTGTTTGCATTGACTTCTTGTTGCAAAGTTACAAGATATTTCAAAATTGTATTTATCATAAAACCCTCCCTACCGTACAAAATTGGTAAGTTGTACAATGTTCTAGTCAACATCAGATGAAAGTTAAAGAGTTAGATTATCTGAATTTCAAATTTTTTTGCGAGAAATGTCAATAGATTGCATTATAAAAAAAATTGAAATTTGTGTGTTTTTTTGGGGAGATAAGAGTCAATAAAAACAAAATGGTAAAACATATTGGGAATCACCTGTGAAGATTAATAGAACCATCATTCATCAATAATGTTTGAAAAAATCCTGACACTCCTATCATTACTTTTTGAACAAAAATAAAAAAAAAATAAAACAAATGTCAATAACTTAATCCTGAGTTATTCACATTTTTGTGTCTATACACCCCTCAAGGAAGGCTCCTTGACGCTGGTGAGGGGCTCTTGATCTAGGGAATTGGATCTGTGCTCCAGTTCCCTGAATTAAGCCTGAATGCCTTCCATCCCCCCATAGGCGCTGTATAATCCTACGGGTTTAGTGCTTCCCCCTTGATTATAATAACAATAATGTGTCTATACAACTCTATGGACTCGGCGCGCCAAATTTGAGGGTGATGCAAACCCCCTATAATTGTTGACAACCCAGAGGCGACCGAGCAGTAACAACTCTGTGTTCTTCACTTTCGTCTTCACAGAACTTGCTATGTTCAGTATTTAGAATTGGTAGAATTACCGACAATATGTAAAGTAAAAGGACACAAGTGCAACTAATTGTGACATTTATTGTGGCAACGTTTCGCTCTCCAGGAGCTTTATCAAGCCATTAGGTAATGGCTTGATAAAGCTCCTGGAGAGCGAAACGTTGCCACAATAAATGTCACATTAGTTGCACTTGTGTCCTTTTACTTTACAAAAATATAAAAGTTACATTTTTCATAAAACATACTTAGAAATATGATAGAAACAAACTGATTGCATCAACATGTTGCCAGAATTTTGCACTATTTTTTGGTAAGAAAACCCTAATTTCCTTAATTTTTCAACTTCAATTTCAAAATCTCTAAAAACAAAAGGCCTCCGCCCCTGAAACTGCTCAGTTCTATTGCACTGATCTGTCTTCAATTTTGGTCACCTCTAACTACATCGACTCAAGGCTGAGGGACTGAGTACCTCAAACTCCTTCAAATATTCCACCATTCACCTCTGTATTCGTCTGAAGAAGCCTGCTGCACGGGCGAAATGTTTCATAAATAAAGATAACCAAAGTGTGTCTTAGACTTCATCAGATATAATCCCAGCCACTGGGACCATTATAACGCATGTTAACACATAGTAACGCATGATGAAACATGGTAACGCATGGTAACACATGGTAATACATGGTAACACATAGTAACGCATGATAATGCATGATAACTCATAACACTTGGTAACGTATGGTAACGCATGGTAACACATGGTAACGCATAGTAATGCATGATGACACGTGGTAACGCAGATGCCTGCTATCAGCCGTAGTCTGTACACACAGTGCTATTCAGTAGGATCACTGAGCTTGCCGTCTAGCAAAATTCTTAGGCCTACTGCTATTAAGTTAGTTCATTGATGATTTATACGTGCACAGAAGATACTCAAGGCTTCCTGCAGTGCACCCTGGGTGCTTACTGTCTCCACCATTCTCCTGTTCCTACTTGTCTGCTCCCACTTGCCTGCTTCCACCCCTTGCTTCCACTCGCCTACTTCCACCCCTTGCTTCCACTCGCCTGCTTCCACCCCCTGCTTCCACTCGCCTGCTTCCACCCCCTGCTCCCACTCGCCTGCTTCCACTAGCCTGCTTTCACCCCCCTCCTTCCACTCGCCTGCTTCCACCCTCTACTTCCACTCGTCTGCTTCCACCCCCCTGCTACCACTCGCATGCTTCCACTCGCCTGCTTCCACCCTTCTGCTTCCACTCGCCTGCTTCCACCCCTGTTTCCACTCACCTGCTTCCATCCCCTGCTTCCACTCTCCTGCTTTCACCCATGCTTCCACCCCCTGCTTCCACTCGCCAGCTTCCACTCGCCTGCTTCCACCCCCTGCTCCCACTTGCCTGCTTCCTCCCCCTTGCTCCAACTCGCCTGCTAACACCCCCTGCTTCCACTCGAGTGCTTTCATCCCCTGCTTCCACCCCCCTGCTCCCACTCGCCTGCTTCCACCCCACTGCTCGCATTCGCCTGTTTCCACCCTCCTGCTCCCACTTGCCTGCTTCCA